CTCTGGAGAAAGGAAAGCCACTCCCTGGGGCATGAGTGAGGTACTTCAGCCATGGAGGCCAACATTTTGGTATGTGGCCTCTTTCTCCTAAGCGAGGCTTTCCACCAGGATCATGACGTGCCAAAGGGGAGGGTCCTGCCCCTAATCCTTTCAGTGGTGTTACCACTGCTCCACTTCTAGAGAGGGGTGATTTTGATGGTTAGCAAACACCAGTTGCAGTGGATGTCTGGCTGCTGTGATAGCTGCTTGGTTTCCTCTAAGGTGCCCAGAGCAGCCAGTGCAATGTAGCGATATGTGGGAGATGCTCTGTTTTCCCTTGGTGGTGAGCAGTCTGCAGGTCTGGGGTAGAAGCCTCTCTGCTGATGGGAAGTGGATCCTTGCATGGGTTGAGGGGAGCACTGGGGGCACCCCACGTTCCCGGACACAGAGGGTGGTTCTGGCTTTTGCTACCCGTGCCTGCAGGAAGGGTGTCAGCATGATGCTGGAGCAGGTTCATCTTGAGGGCGGATGTTTTTTGGGGGGAACTCCACTGAAGGAAGTGTGTTCACAACCATGATGCTCATTTTTCCCCATGGGAAAAGAGATATTTTTATTGTCTATTGTAGTCATTTGTTAACTATGTAATTAGTGGGTCTAGTTAATCTTGACTGTTTCATTTCCTTAGGGATGAGATGTCAAGGATGGCTTCATAAAAATTTGACAGCTCAAATTTTCTTGGAACTTTGGGAAAATGCTGTCAGGAGGCCAGCAGGACCTTTCTTAAGACTGTATCTGATCTGTTTAGCCTTGACTCTTGCTTTTAGCTTCATGGGAGAAATGAGCCTTGTCTGCTGGTCTTCTGACCTTTGCAAAGTGATGGCTCTTCAGAAAAAGCTGTGCTTTCTCTGGGTCAAGTGAGAAGCCCCTTTGGCATGAACTGGGGAGAGCTGATCTGAGCGTCAGTGTCTTGCCCAGCTTCCAGCTGTGGATGTCATATACCTGTGAAAGGCAATTGCACCCTGAGCTGAGGTAAGTATATGACATTTGTATCAGAACTTTTATTTTTAAATAGTTTAATTGGGTGGATTGTGCTTGAGTTCTAACTCCGTAGCTTTGAACTGTTCTGTCAGTGACATGAACTAGCCCTCCATCCTATGTGAGAAATATGAAGATTTAATAAAGGAGATGTCTAGGAAAGTGGGAAGTACAAAATAGGGTGATCAGGAATAGCCAAGGATTACTGAAAGACTCCAAGACCCTTACACAAACCCTAGGGGAGAACGAGGAGGTTTTCTATCACCCAATCTTTCCCATCTCGCTGCTTCCCAAGCTCCCATCTGAAGGGCAGCCAAATTGCCTTGACAAGAGAGAGTAATTTCCATGTCAAGGAGAAGGCATGGAAACTACTGCCAGGGTTTAATCTTAGCAATAAGCCCCCAGGTAGCTGTGTGGGAGACCTCTCCAGCAGGCACAGAGCAGCAGAGCCACTCAGTGCCTCCATGCGAGGGCTCAGTGGGAGAGCTGGGGATGCTTTCACAGCACACACACACACACAGTGCTGCAGGAGAGCATCCCATGCTTCTCAGCGCCCTTGCAGGTGTCAGTGGGCTGACAGCAAAGCCTAGGTGACACAACTCTGGAGACTGTTCTTGAGCTGCTGAGAAAATGCTCTGGCTAGCAACCAGGCAGCTTTAGTGGCCAGGAAACTTTAATCCTCACCTGTGAATCAATTTGGGTAAATTACCTGTTGACATGCTGACCCCTCATGTCCTTTTGTCCCTCAACTCTGTTGTGATGCCCTCAGCCACCATTCTTGCCAACATAAGCAGGAAAAATCTCTGTTTTGAAACAAAAAATAAAAAAAATAATTTAAGTAGCGCAGTCCAAACCAGAGCTATGTTTAAGTGCATACCTGGCTTCGTAGGACCAAGCTGACACTTCGGAGTTACAGGGCTAACAAGGAGGAAAACAGGGCTGCCACTGTGGAGCCCATGGCTTTGCCTGGTTCTTGTCTGCTACTTTTGTACCCTTCCATTACTGACTGTGGTGCCTGGAAATGGCCTTGTCTCTCTTCTATTCGGGGTTACTCATGAACTTTGCAGGGAAGCTGTAGACTGTGCGTATTAGAAGGCCAGACTTCTCTCTCTCTCTCTCATAGGCATGTTAGGAGCTTTAAGAAGAGGACATGTTTGCTTGCTTAGCAGCAAAAAGCTCCCCAAGAGTCAGAAGTCACTGCAGCAGCCACACTGTGCTTGTTCGTGAGGCTCAGGACCGAGAAAGTAATTGAGGGGATGGCTAGGGTCTGTCTAGATCTTGCTCCCTGCTTTATCACCGTCTCCTGTGTGGGAAAAGAAGTGGGGAAAGCTCCTGAAGTGATCCAGGCTTCATAAGAGAGGAGCATAAGCATAGCACATTCTTGCTACAGAAGGGTTTTCTTTTAAGCCTGCTTTGATTCTGAGTAGCCACAGAAAGGCCCGTGTGAAAGCATGGCTCCAGCAGCACGCTGGGTGCCAGCCGAGGGAACACCCTGAGCAGCCATGGGGACAGCAGGGCTTCAGATGGCAGCACATGTCCCAAGGGATGTTTGAAGCTTGGCCATCCTGGGTTCAGTCCTGGGCTACTGGCCAAGCTTTCATGTGATCTACAATCCATCAGTGGAATAATCCTAAATAAATATCTGGGTGTACAGGTAGTACTGGGATGTGGTCACCTGTTTTTT